AGAACAAGCCTGGTTGGTGGAAGCCAGATAACATGTCTACTTCTGTCCCATGCAACAACTTCAGAATTGAATGGCAGGAAATATTTATAAGGTCTTTTAATTAGATGTGCACCAGCTACCCTGTTAAGGTAATCAAATGTAGAGTTAATCTCCCTTTTATGTTTTTATAAGGAAAGGAGCTTCATCTTGACATTATAGTTTTGAACAAAAGAGGCATAGATGGGAAATGTGGAGGTCATTCAGGCAGCAGCAAGTGAAGCAGAGCAACTCCCATTTGTGCTCAGCCAGATGTTCACTAGCCTTTGCCAATAGCTCAAAAGGCTGATGCTACATAAATTACTATATCCCAGGGACTAATTCAATGGGTGTGATGGAAGAGGAAGGGAGGAGAATGGTACCCTGTCGGTCAGAGGTCAGATGTTACACATGGGACTGCACCAAGCACTATTCAGACGATTTTTTTTTTCCTTGTGAACTGAAAACATTTCATTTTTTCCAAAGAAACTGGAAGAAATGTCAATGATTTTATTAGGAATAAGAGGCAGTTTATTTACACCAAAAAATCCTGATTCCTGTGTAATGAAGAGATGTATACCCAGTGACTTGTAACTTGATAAACTGAAGGTTATTTTTGAAAAGATATAGTAGCCTTTGACAGCTGTCAGCAGTCTGTTGAAATGAAAATCCTTAAAAGGCTTCTCTCTCTGTTCATTGCTGAAAGTATGCCAATTGCAAATCGAACTGCCTGGCCTTCTTATCGATTACTAAGCTCTTCAGGTTCTTCGAGAGGAATCGCTCTTCATCTGGTGTGTCTGCTTTTCTTTTTAGGAGAGTTATTTTACAGAACAGAGTAATAAATAAGGGTTTTCTTTTAGCATAAGCATTTGCACTCCCCAAGTGCTGTTAGCGGAAGAAAGTAAGTCTATTTATGTTGCTACCCTTCACATATTTATGTTTGTATCGCAGGTCTGATGGTATTTGATGCTCTGCTTAGAGCACCGTGATGTGCAGGCTAACAGTGAGCTATGGGCTCCTGAACTGATAAGGAAATATCTCTATGACCTATGATGCAAAGGATCATCACACACAAATGTGACTCTTGGATACAAAAAAATGAAAAATAAAAATTAAGCTCATACTAGCACTCAGTTTTAAATCTGCTTTGTTTCAGATGAGCTGAGTCTGGTTTTGGCAGTGCTGATGCCTAATTTCTTAGGATTTCCTAGAGACTCTAATTAAGAAGCTGAATTTCAAGGCCACTAAAGTACTGCCTTAGCATCCTGAGCGTTATTTCTCAATCAGTGGGAAGCTGTCATGGAGGGACAGAGTGCCTTTTCCTCCTAAAAATAAAGAAATAACCAGTGCTCTCTAGAGTTGTCGCCAGAGGAAACCACCAGGGGATTTTTTTTATCATCTGTAGTCTGCAATTATGCAGCTGCAGGCTTTTTTTTTTTTTTTTTTTTTTGAGATTTAGTTAGGTAGACAAAGATATCTCTGACTTAATTTACCTTCTTTCATCTTGGTACATCATGGCAGATATGTAATGTGTCTCCAAACAGTATGTGATCTGTGGAAGAACGTGTGCTTTGGGGGGCTTTTGTTGTTTATTTGGCTGTTTTACTAAAATGATGAGGCATGATGAACTTCAGTGGAAAGCACAGCAGCTAGTATTTCGCTTGAAGCTCAAAGATTCGATTTCTGTCCTTGTGTAATACTGACATAAATAGTCAAACTTACATCCAAGCTCCTTGTATCCTTTTCTAACCTGACTAGTGTGTTTGGGAGCTATGTTTTTTTTTTTTTTTCCTTACAAAAGCAAACCAGCTGTCCCCTCTTTTCTGATGGTGTTTGGGGTTCCTGCACCATGCAGTGCAGTTTATAACTGGGTAAGTTTTCTGGGTTGTCCCAGGAGCACCTTGTCAGGCAGGGAGGAAGTTCAGGTAACACCTGTTCAGGTGACAGCAGTAGTTGGAGTAGTTTGGACTCATGCTTCAAAACCCTGAACATACTTTATTTTGACTAAAAGGGCCTCTGTCAAGGATGTGCCTGCGGTAATTACGACCACCTCTGTACATTTTTTTTTTATCAGAGAGTTTCCTGGTTGTTACTGTCTGTGCTTCAGTAGATTTGTTCTCACAGTCATAGTTACCTTCTGGGCCTTTAGGAGCAAGACCTGAGGCTGTCGCAGTGTCCACGTTGCTGCTGGGACATGGGAATGCTATACGATCCCAGTGCTGCTTCCTAAGTGTCCCTTGGCTCACATCTGGTAGATAAGTGTACTACTTTTTGCAAAACGCCCCACAGAAATTCAGTAAAATAGCAACTTCTATGAAATGATCTCTGGGGTGATTTGAATTATGCAGGCTTTCCCATCTGTGGAGAATTTCACCCTGGTTTGAAGTCAACTAAACCAAAATATTTTCTAATACAGCATAACTCTGGAGTGTGACCATTTCCCTTATCTCCTTGGATAGTGGTCTATGAGCATTTCTGATGAGTTGCCATACTATAAGAAAAGGGTGCCAAGACTTAAGAAGACAGCCTGTGCACAAAAATATAAGTAGAAATGGTTAGAAGCTTGTATTCCTGAGCTGATTCAACAAGATTAACTCAAGATGAGGAGGGAGCTACGAACTTTACTTGCCTTTATGTAGATTGCAGTGCCTCAGCAAGAAGTAGTAGGAAAGGGATGACGGATCTTCATGGTTGCTCCTCAAAAAGTGGTGTCAGACCACTTTTATGGTTCAAATGTTTGCAATACACGCTTCTGTCTGGTCACTGCTACTGCTTCTACAGCGATGGATCCTTTTTTTCTTTCTGAACTGCAGTTAGGAACTTCTGTCTTCTTTACTACATCTGAACGCCATAGCACTGATTGTGCTAGTGGCCAAGAAGGATGTTATTACTGTAAGAACAAGGGGAAAAAAATTGACTTTGTTCTTCTGAGAGACATCAGAAATCCACATGCTCTAATGATGGCAACCACTGTTACAGTATTTTAACAGCTAGCGCTTCCCCACAGGCTGGGGGCTGATAATGATCCTCTCGAAGAAAAAGGCCGACAAATGGCATTTGTTAAAATGTTGATATTTATACACAAAGTTGCCAGCACTTTAAGAAATGGTGCTGCTCTTAATTACAATGATAATTTACTGCCTTGTTTGGAGAGACTGTGCTCATAAGGATGCTGGTGAATTATGAATAGAGTAATAACAAATGCCAGATGGAGGTATCTTTCAAGGAAGTATATTTTGTGTAATTTAGCATGTAACATTAAACAATAATAGAAGTCTTTAAGGGCCTCATTGGTCAAACTTTCCTGACAAAATTACTTTTTATCCTGCCAAGAAATGTAGTTTCACATTCCGATGTGTTTTTAAGCTAGAGTAATTAAAGCATGCCCCTAAGTTGATGGCTTGAAATGAAATCCTTTCCTCCAGTGTTTTGTCAGGATTCTGTAAACAGTGCAGGAAAGGAGACAACTTATAAGAATAATAGTTTTGCCAATTCTATACATTCTGCCTTTGAAACCAAAGGCAATTAGGAATGAACAAAATTGCTCAGAAGTTTTACAAAAACGTGCAAGTTTTGTTGTAACTTTACTTCACTTTTTTTTTTTCTTCTCTTTTGAAGGCAGCTGTTAGGTATAAGAAACACTTGTCTCAAATTAAAACCTGCCTTCTTTGTTTGAAGTGAAAAATGATTACCGAATTATAAATGCATCAAAACCTCAAATGATATGCCTTTTTGTAATTTATTGAGAAAAGAGGAAATAAAACTTAATGTCATTTTGTAATGTAATTAGTGATTAGAATATAAATAAGCAAAGGAAAGTAAAAAGGAAAACATAGGGGTGGGCATTTCATTTTCTTATGTTCTTGCTCCATAGGCAGGATAGGGAGGCAGGCTATGGGATCTCTGCAGCTACTGCAGGCCACTGTTGTTGCCCATTGCGGAATAGTGCTTTGGTGGTCTGGGGTGCAGTAATATGTGTCGGGACAGCTTGATTGTAATGATTTGATTTGTCTTGGTGATTGTCTTCCTATTACTTTAAAGCAGTAAAATTTAAGTTAGAGAAATTTGGGAGTGTAAACGGCCACTGTGGAATATAGTCTCAGATAAATATATGTCAGTGTGGTAGAGCTTTAGTTACATTGTGCTCTACCCACATCCAGAGACACAAAACATTTCCTAACGCCCAATAATTAACCTAAAACATATGGTACGAACATCTTCCAACGGTCAAACGCTATGTCAGGATACCGAAAGATAGCAGAGGAGTTAAAGTTACCTACTTCTAATTGTTTTTCTGTGAGTGTATATAATAGGAGTATAAACAAGGTAATATATTCCCATACTGGATGGTGAAGAGAATGCTTCAGCTTGTATTAGAAAAAACTATCAAGATAAGTATTCATGAGGATAAAACACTGTTTTGAATTATACTCAGAACAGTCTGTCCAACTATTTTTGGTATTAATGTTCATTGAAGTTGTAGAAAGTTGTAACAATAGAAAGGTGAGAGCATTGGAAAAGGATGTTGAGAGGGAAGGCAGACCAGGATGGGATTCAGTGGCTCTAGCTGTGATAACAAAAGCAGAGAGTGCTCTCAGCTCATTGATAGTGATCTGTAACTCTTAATAAACCTTAATTTTGTTTCAGTGCAGAAAGAAGAGTATTTCTGTCTGTTTTTGAAATATCCTTAGAGCGTTGCTTCTCAATGATCTTTTTTGAAGGTGTAGTGAACTTACCTGGGAGATGTCATCTGTAATTATGCACAGATAAACCCTGATGTTACTAGTGTTTAATGAGCAAGTACTGTATATATGAACAAGAAACTTGCTAACTTTGAAAGCAGTCTACCTAATGGAAAATTGGCACTGTGACTCTTCCCACTAACCCTCTTGAAATCTGTGCCCCTTTTAAGCAATGTTGTCACTTTTGTTATTGCTGACCTCCTTGTTGTTATCTTTTTTCTTGTCTGTTTTTTTTTTTTTCAGAAAAACTCTACAATTCCAATGGACGGGAGCTGAGACGGGCACTTTTCTCTTTGAAACAAATATTTCAAGTAAGTGAATATGTTAGCAGTGTAACTGTTGAACATTGTTTGAATCTCTTTATTGATGTAGGGAATAGCTTACAGGTTTTGACAAAGGATAAAATTTTAGAAACCCATTTTTGAAGAGCATTCAGATGGTCTACACGCCTTCCCCCATTCCATCTGTCTGAAGAGAGCAGGACTGGTTATGGAGCACTGGCAGACTTAATGGCTGCCAGGAAGGGAGAAAGAAAACTGTAAGTCTTGCATGGAAAACTGTGCTGTTCACTGGGCAATGAGACAGATAATGCAGTATTGGGAAGGTTGGAAGGGGGATGTATAAAGCAGAGTCTGAAACCTGTCACTGGAGCAATGGGCTCACATTGGCCTAATCCTGACCACAGAAATATTGTTGACAAATGGTTTAGGTTTAAGCTGCATTTAAAAAAAAGGGGACAAGGGAACTAAAAAAGGTTATGAGAAGACATGGGACAAATCTGAGATGTTAGATTATTGATTTAAGTTAGAAATGAGAGGCTGCAATTTATTGCTTCATCCAGAAAGATACTTCAAGGAAAGACAAGGATTTGGATATGTGCTTGTTATGGAGAAGAGCTGGAATCAGCAGGACTTTGGGTCCTTTGGAGAAGTAGCAGATGTGATAGAGAAGTGCTGTGGGCAGTATGAGAGTGAACAGATTGGGATGCTTTGATTATAAGATCCATTTGCCTGGGTAAGGAGAAGGACTGGGTAAAGATGCAGGATTGGAATAAATCAGGTTGAAAAGAACAGGATAGAGAAAAAGAAAAAAAATAAGTGCGTGAGAACCAAGCATCCTACAACAAAATTCTAAGTGACAAATTCCACTTCTGTCATTAGATATCAGTGAAATCAATTAAACAACAGCAGCAAAATACACCTCTTCTCCTTTAAGAATCAGTGATGATGACCTGTAGCTTTATTGAGCTACATGGTAGGTGTTCGTGTTTGAAGTACCTCTAGGGATTTCAAATGCTTAGTTAAACATTTTTGGTTTGTTTTGAATTAACATTTGTTCTAAGAAGAAGGGGAATATTTCAGTAAATCTGTAAGTTTACAGAGTGGAAATTTCCAAAGCATACAGAACTTCAAAGTTACACATTTATTAGTATGTGCCAGAATCTTTTTTTCAAGCAATAGGAATAGTTGGGGAAGGGATCTCATTTCACACAGAATTTTGGTAAATGAAGATATCCTTCCCAAGTCACAGCAAAGCTCCCTATCTTTTGAAATCTTTTGATAGAAAGGAGTTCCAACTCCAAAACAGTCTGGTTGTCTCCTGGTCACAGGCTGGCAAAACTACTGTGTGTTCAAGGCATTCACAGAGGAGGGCTGTTTCAGAGTCACGAAGATGCAAGCTTCTCTGTGAGCTTGCCAAGTGGGTGGACTGTATGCTCAGAGGAAATTAGGCATGTTTCTAAGAGTTGACTCTGTTTTCTTCTCTTTTTTGTTAAACACAGCTGTTTCTGGAAGTATTTGTTTGTTTATGTGAATTTACATATTGCATGGCTTAATTTGGGCCTTCATGCATATCACAGAATCATCATGGTTATAAAAGATCTTCAAGGTGGAGAACAACTGTAAACTCTTCATCACCGTAACTGGTAATCTATGTCTCTAAGCGCCTCATCTACACGTTTCTTGAACACTATCAGTGATGGTGACTCCACCACTTCCCTGGGCAGTCTGTTCCAATGCTTGACCACTCTTTCTGTGTAGAAATTCTTTGTAATGTCTAACCTGAACCTCCCTGGCGCAACTTGAGGCCATTTCCTGTTGTTCTATCAGTACTTATTCTGGAGAAGAGATCGACTGAGGCCTCTGTTCCCACCCTTCCTACAATTCCCATCAAAGTTTTTTCCCTGTGCAGATATTCATAAGTGTTCTCTCCCAGGTAGGTTTTTTTTAAAGTCTTGTATTTCTGAGCAGATAGCACAGAGTGCTTTCAGTGGACCCACTGTTAAGGTCTTTACTACCTGATAGCTATTTTCTGCGGAATCGATATTGTTTAGATACTCATCTGTCTAATAAATGTAATGGGATGGGTTGAAAAGCAATGAGATGGAAGGGAGAAGAGATGCAGAAAAAGAAGCTGTACAGGAAACCAGGACAATAGAACTAAGTCTTTATCCAAATCTGATCATAGAAGTTGTACAGGTAACATTTTATCCTGATTATTTCCAGCTTTAACTTCATTCTTTGGCAGGTCAGAGAGATTTTCTAAACATTTTACTTGTTACAAATTGATGATGAGACTTTATATTTGGAGAAATGCATTACCTGCCTAACTGTAAAGCAAATATTCACTTCAAATCTAGATTGTCAGAAGCGCACCAGGAAGTAATGTAGTTTTAAAGTCAAGGTAGTCAGTTTCAGAACATAATTTTCCTTCAAGTATTTGAGTTCTTTTTAATATACCTGATCTGGGGAAGAAGTGGAAATTATCTCTTAAAATTTCAAGTAGCAACTTCTGGTAGAATTATAGCTATTTGTTGATTGAACAGGGCCTTAGAAAAAAAAAGTACACTATGAAAATGCAAGGACTGATTATAATTAGTGGAAGAATTGAGAGAGAAGATGTTTCTCAAGCTGGAAGGTATCCATGTCATACACTCAGAAATTTGATTCACAGTTGGTACTCTACCAATTCAAAAATAAGACTTCTTCTTTTTAAAAATAATTGGATTTTTTCTTTTTTCTTGTAAGAATTACAGAAGAAAAGTACAAGTTGAGATAACACTATAGGCCAAATACTCTTCCAGATGATCCTAATTTATTTTTATAGTCTATCACATCAGAGTATACAGACATTAGAAATCTATTTGTCTACCATTGAGTTATTCTTTTAAAAAAAGAGTATACTTCAATACGAATATCTGTTTAATTTTATATCTTGTTATATTTAGTATTTGAAATTCTTCAAGAATATAATGTTTTGGAAATTAAATATTGACTTCAAAACCAGTCAGGTAATGATCATCTTAACAACTTTCAGAAAGTTACAGAGAATCTGTCTTGTCTTAGAGTGCCAAAACATTTTATAACAACATGTTTTTATAATAATTTCATCATAGCTGAGTTAATTTGGCACAGCTCTGTGTCTGTATCATTGTTAATTTGAAGAAGTTCAAGGTGATGTAAAGTCTCTTAATTTGTATGAAGTGGGAACAAGGCCAAGTTGTACATCAAAATTGAATTCCAAGTATTTAGATCTTTTGGTCTTTCACGCAAGGTCTCAACGAAGCTTAGCAAGGTTTGGCAAATGCAGTGCCTTTGTTTCAAGTTTTAAATGAAAGATTCGTTTGGCAAGCACAGGCTTGGAATTTCTCTTTGGTTTCTTACAGTGGGCTGTTCTTAGCAAAAGCGTAAGGATTTTGGAGCATTTTTCTTTGACAGTAATGTCATTTCTGCTATTGTAATTTGTTCCAAAAGGTTAATATATCCATACTCACAATGTTTTGCTTGATTGTACTACAGTATCCTTCTGGTTTACCAGTGTGCTTTTTCACAAATGGAGTAAGGAAAATAATTTTCAGAGTACTGGGAGTATGTTAAAAATGCAACTATAAAGTAACTTAAAAAAGAAAAAAAATGCACATATAGCTGACAATGCATTGGGCTGCAGTTTAGCTCTCCTTAAATCCTGTTGCCTTAGTTGTTGTGTTCTTGAGTTTATCAGAGATTCATGATTTTTTAGATACAATGTGCTAAACTCCCAAAGGCATTCAGGGACAGAATCCAGCCTAATATGGTGCTTATAAAACTGTGATATAAAAAATATTCATTATACTGTAAAATAGGAAAAATATAACTTCCTTATTTTATTCAATCTTTATTTAGCTTAAAAGTGTAAAAAATAGTTGGAAGTATTATAATATGTGCAAATGTATATAGAATAAGAGAATCATTATGGCTGAAAAAGACCTTCAAGATCATCGAGTCCAACCATAGACCCTTCAACACCATGCCTACTAAATCACATCCCTAAGTGCCTCATCTGCATGTTTCTTGATCCCTGCCAGAGGCAGTGACTCCACCACTTCCCTGGACAACCTGTTCCAATGCTTGACTACTCCTTCTGTGTAGAAATTTTTCCTAGTATCTAACTTGAACCTCCCCTTGTACAACTTGAGGACATTTCCTCTTGTCCTATCAGTAGCTATTTTGGAGAAGAGATCATCTGCCACCTCACTACAACCTCCTTTCTGGTAGCTCTAGAGAGTGATAAGGTCTGCCCTGAGCCTCTTCTTCTTCACACTAAATAACCCCAGCTCCCTCAGGTAAGGTCTGTGCTTCAGCCCCTTCACTAGCTTTATTGCCCTTCTCGGGACACGCTCCAGCACCTCAATGTCCTTCTTGTAGTGAGGGGCCCTGTGTGGCCTCACCAGGGCTGAGTATAGGGAGACGATCGCTCCCCTGGTCCTGCTGACTACAGTGTTCCTGATACAAGGCAGGAGGCCGTTGGCCTTCTTGGCCTCTTGGGCACACTGATGGCTCATGTTCATCTGTCGATCAACACCCCCAGGTCCTTTTCTGCTGCACGGCTCTCCAGCCACTTTGCCCCACACCTGTAGCGCTGCAGGGGTTGTTGTGACCCAAGTTCAGAACCCGACACTTGGCCTTCTTGAACCTCATACAGTTGGTGTCTGCCCATTCATCCAAGCTGTCCAGATCCCTCTGTAGAGTCTTCCTACCCTCAGACAGATCTATTCTTCTTCCCCGTTGGTGTCATCTGCAAATTTGTGGAGGGTGCACTCATCCCTTCATCCACATCGTCAATAAAGATACTAAAGAAGACCTGCCTCAACATTGACTCCTGAGGAACAGCACTTGTGACCAGTCACCAGCTGGATTAACTCCATTCACTACCACTGACTGGGCCTGGTCATCCAGACAGTTTTTCACCCAGCAAAGAGTCTGTCTCTGTTGCTTTCACCCAGCAACATCTGTCTAAGCCAAGCTTTTCCAGGAGAAGGCAGTGGGAAACTGTG